AACACTTGTCGTCATATTCGTCTAGTTCACTGTCAAAATTAAATACCATCGCGATTCCAAGGTCGTTTAGGATTGCTCCTTCCTGACTATATATATTCTAAGGTTCAAAAGTATTTTGTGACCACTGAGGCCAGTGTACAATGGGTATGAAGACTAGACTTTATAACAATGGGTTTCATGAGACAGATCAAATTTAAATGTATAGCCTCCGAGCAATTGCTCGGAGTGTATAGCAAGTTTGAAAAAATATTGGTTAGGAATTTTCAACATGGAAGTTAAACCTTATAATGAGTTGAAAAAAGTTAATTAGGAATATGGACGTAACTGCGACTTTTTCGCGCCTTACTTTATACATCAGGCACAGATTTATGCAACAGTGGTCTCTGCTTGATATACGCAATATGCATGTTCCTATTATACCTTGTGTAACTCACTGTAAGGTATAGTTTGAGCATTAAAAATTCCGTACCTGTACATGAAAAATGCAATATACGAGTATTTAAATAGAAGCAAAAATTCAGGTGTTAAGATTTTATAACCGCACCAATTCAGATACTTCTCATCAGAGTGCTTTTAAACTAACGAATTTTTCTTTTGAGCAAAATCCGTTTGTGAAATGCAATATGGTTTTGTTTGAAATCCTTTTATCTTTGTTCTGTTTTATATTCTTCTAGAATTCACAACTTCGAGATAAAAAATATGTATTACATCCAATATACTTTACACCGTTTTGCAAAAACGTCTTTAGAAATATTAATTTATACTCCTGATAAATAGTTATATTTGTCACTTTAGAATTACAAAAAGTGGTATAACAATGTCTTAACATGTATGTGTGTGATCCATAAAAATGTTTCAAAAGAAGAACACAAACGACAAAGATTGAGATACAAATCATGCCCGTAATAACTGTAGATACCTATAAATTAAATATAAACTGTCATATAAAAAGAAGAATTGCAATATCCGATGTTCGCAATTTTTTCCAAAGCCTATTTAAGAAAAAAAAAAAATAAATATTACACATTACATGTCATGACAATGACATTTTAGTCACTAGCTACTAAACTGATTTTATTATTTTCTCTTTAATTTGTTCCTGCTTATCAAACTGTTACTTTAAACACTTTTAAACATATTATATTTCAAACCATTTTCTTACCAATTTTTAATTGTTGTGTAAACATCGACGTGAGTAGCTTACCTGCAACAAAATATATAATTAGTTCATATAAATTTAATTAAACTGTCAAATTCTATGTTAAGTTATAATTATTAAACAACACTGCACTTTTTTTAGAGATGCAGCAAACATTTTTAAACCGTCTAAACAATTATGTAATAGACGTCTCATTAATTTATGAAAAATATTCAATCTAACTGCCACATCTCCGAAACTAAGGGTTGGGAGACTTGTTACAAGATTGTGTTGCATGTAGACATTAGAAATAGCCAGGGTGTGATTAGAAAATTAGAAAGAAACGGAATAGCAGATATAAACTGCTGGCCACTCGAACTTACACATAGAGATTTTTAGGCAAAATTTAAAGTTTAATATTTTCAACAAGAATGCAAATTTTTGAACACGGCTTGCAGATTTTAAAAGCTAGTTTTTTCGAATTAAGCTGCATAACGTATATTTCTCGTAAGACCATAGGTTTATTATATACGGGGTGATCAATGAAGTCATGCAAAAAATCAAAAAGTTTGTATGAGTAAAATTTCCGCAAAAAATTTTTTTGTTCATTGCAATATGGTTTACTAAGGTAACATCAATATCTCTAAAAATTTTTGTCAGTTTTTGGATTAAGTCCCTTAGGTGTTTTACTAAACATAAAATTTGGGTAGCAAAATTTTTAAAATGCTATAACTTGACATTGGATTGACGGTTCTTGATGATTTTTGCGGATTTGGAATCCTCATTTCACGTAGATTTTCTATCCAAAGGTTAAAACATAGTTTATCTATATAAAGATGAGATGATTTATTACGAGTACCTACCTATTAATCAAAAATCTCGCAGTACAAATTTTTAGAGTCTAAGCTGGAAACTTTAATTTTTTACAAATATATTTTTTTATATACACCGTGTCCCACGTAAGGCGGGCATTACAACTTTATGGAGAATAAATTAATTTGTATTTTCGCCATTTTCTGAGTATACATAATCGAATATGCTCTTTTGAATTAAAATAAAATGAACTCTGTGCAACTTCCGGTTATACCGGAAGTGACCACTAACTTCGTTATTTTAAAGGGAATACCCCATATTTTTTTTTAATTTTAGATTCAGCATGAAATTCTGTAAACAACGATACCCCATTTGCCTATTCTAGTTATAGCGGATTTGGCGTTATTCAATTTTTTTCTACATTTTTAGTCGCCGGTAGACATTTTTTGTTAAAGTCGTCTATCTCAGGTACTATATCTATCAGATACTTAAAATTTTAACCAGAGGTAGTACATGGGATGTACTTCTTGAGAATATTTAGTTATTCATTATTTGTTTGCAAATTATTTTTAAAAATGAAATTTTTTAAACATAAAAAACTTTTTTATTTTAAAGGGAACACCCTATATATTTTTTAAATTTAGGATTCAGCATGAAATTTTGTAAACAATGATACCATATTTGCCTATTCTAATTATAGCGGATTTGGCGTTATTCATTTTTTTTTAATTTTTAGTCGTCGCGCCGGTAGGCATTTTCTTAAAGTCGACTGTCTCAGGTACTATTTCTGTTGGATACTTGAAATTTTAGCCAGAAGTAGTAGATGGGATGTACTTTTAAAAACATTTACAGTTTTCTGCAACAAAATATGTCGTTTAAAAAGTCTAAATTTTTTTAATGATAAGGTACATACTAACTAAAAACAATTTTTATTAAAAGCACATGGTTTAAAAAAATCATTTTATCAAATGTTCAAAATGCCCCCCGTTAGCTTCTAAACATTTTAACAATCTGTTTTCAACATGATTAGTTGTTGCTTTACGAATCATTTCACCATCTAACTCGTTAAAGGCATTCCGAACTCTTTGCTCTAATTCTTCTTTAGTATTAATTTGGGTAGAGTACACTAAATTTTTAATGACCCCATACAAAAAAATCAACAGGAGTTAGATCTGGCGATCTTGCAGGCCAAAGCCAAGGACCATTTGGACCTATCCATCGGTCTTCAAAGAGTGCTGTAATTTCTTGATTTACATAGTATGTTGAATGTGCTGGGGCACCATCCAACTGGTACCAAAAATTATTATTTGGTAGCTGGTTTAAAATGTCGGCAACTACTTCTCTAAGAATTCTAATGTATCTTTCTGAGGTCAGTGTTTCATTATAAATGTAATAAAAAGCTCTTCCAAAACCGATCACTGCAAACACATTAAAACTAAATTCGTACTGAAATTGTGCTTCACGATAAAAATGAGGATTTTCATTTGCCCAGAAATGACATTGCTTGCGATTGATGATCCCTTTACGTGTAAATTTCGACTCGTCTGACCACAAAATTTTGTTTAAAATCTCGGGATCTTCTTGAATTCGTACCAATAACCATTCGCATAATTCAGTTCGTCTTATTTGATCACCATCTCGCAACTCATGAACTTTTCTTTGTGCATAGGGATGCCATTTATTTAGTGCTAAAATTCGTTGTATTGACCCTCGACTAATATTTAAATTATCTTGAGCCATTCTAATGGAGGCGTGAGGATACGCAGTAAAATACCCTAATACGTTAATTAGATTAACTTCTTCATCTCGGACATAATGTTGACGGTTTCTTCCCGGGTTTTGTTTAAAATTATTCAAAAAGTTAGCTTCGATTCTATCAAATTTCTGTCTGTTCATTGGTGGTAAATGAGGGTATCGTTCATTAAACATGCGGCAGGTTCTACTTTTGATTCGATTACATTCTCCATGAATGTAAAATAAATTAAGAATATCTTGGTTGGTATATTCTTCAATATTTTCCATATTTTCCATATTTTGAACGCAAAAAATACACAACTTAAATACATAGAAATATGACAATTCAGTTTGTTGACAGATTGTTGTTTAGCATATTTCCACGGCATACTAAGATAAAAAAATTAAATGTAAAACTATACTTTATTATGTAGGTGCATGCGTAAAATTTAAATTTAAATTTTCTAAAATTGGCGAGAGATAATTATAGGGAATTAATAGTGCAAATGAAGATCAATGAAGAATAATTTTCTGAACAAAATGAAATAAAAATATACAGGATTTTCCATTTAAAATAAAAAAAATTTCATGTTTAAAATATTTATTTTTTAAAATAATTTCCAAACACACAGTCGAATAAACGATGTAAATTTAAAAAAGCAAATGTCTGCCGGCATATAAAAAACTGAATAACGCCAAATACACTATAATTAGAATAGGCGAATGGGGTATCATTGTTTACAGAATTTCATGCTGAATCTAAAATTTAAAAAATATATAGGGTGTTCAATTTAAAATAAAAAAGTTTTTTGTTTAAAAAATTTCATTTTTAAAATAATTTGCAAACACCCCGTACAACAAATAATGAATAACTAAATATTCTCAAGAAGTACATCCCATCTACTACCTCTGGTTAAAATTTTAAGTATCTGATAGATATAGTACCTGAGATAGACGACTTTAAGAAAATGTCTACCGGCGACTACAAATGTAGAAAAAAATTGAATAACGCCAAATCCGCTATAACTAGAATAGGCAAATGGGGTATCGTTGTTTACAGAATTTCATGCTGAATCTAAAATTAAAAAAAAATATGGGGTATTCCCTTTAAAATAACGAAGTTAGTGGTCACTTCCAGTATAACCGGAAGTTGCACAGAGTTCATTTTATTTTAATTCAAAAGAGCATATTCGATTATGTATACTCAGAACATGGCGAAAATGGCCTTACGTGGGACACGGTGTATATTATATCAGTTTTCCACTCAAATACCCTGTATTTTGTTTTAAATTTAATTCGAAAAAATTTTTTTTAGAAACATTAAGAAAGTATCCACCGCTTCAATACTTATTTAGGAGATGTACGAAAAACTACAAGGTTCCCGGCGAACCAGGCATAGAAATTGAAGATGGAACAATCGTAATGATTCCAATTCTTGGAATACATTATGATCCAGAGTATTATACTAATCCAGAAAAATTCGATCCCGACAGATTTACCGAAGAAGAAAAAAGAAACAGACCTCCTTTTTCGTGGCTTCCGTTTGGAGAAGGTCCTAGAATATGTTTAGGTAATTAACAGTACGGGTTTGTGTATTAATAGCGATTTATATCATCTCAGAATTCTTAAATGAATACCTATATGACTAAACTTTAGCGGAAATAAATTCTTTGTTCCACTTTCCAGATATGGAAATTGTCTTAAATTTGTCCTATATTTAAAACAGGAGCAGGAGTAGGTTCTATCAGCAACAGCGTGTAATAATTCTTAAATATCATCGGTACAATGCCAAAACCACGAATGTGCCAAATTTTCAGTTTTGAGAATGTGGTCTTTCGAGCCTTAGGAATTGAAGTAACCGCAAATTTTTTTCTTTCTAAAAATAGACATCGATCGTAGAAGGAGGTTAGACTCTGGAAGCAAGCACATTCTTAAATTTGGAATTAATAACTTTCAAGGTTAACTTTTAACTGGTGACGTGGTTTACTTGTAATGTGACTGGTGATGTTGGGGCCAACAGTAAATAAAAAATCCCCCCTCCCTCCCCAAAAAAACAACTAAGTCGTAATTTTTTGAGAGTTTTTCATCATTAAATTATTAATAAGTTATCGGTAATTTGACTCAAGCAAAAAATGTTTTCATGCAAGGAATTTCCGAAGTAGCTGGGGATTTAACTGTAAAGAAAGATCACGATAAAAGCAAGATAGCAGAAGTTCTGAATACTGTCAACTGTACAGCTAATCCAGTCATTTTCTTTCGTGTCGGAAAACCGACAGACAATCGTAAATTTCCCCGTATGATAAAAGTTGTTATGCAAAATAAATTTTAGGCTCGCAATATTCTGCGAAATAAAAGAAAACTTGTAGAAAATCCTTCTACAAACAAATTCACCAAGAATTGAATACGAAGAGACCCTTACAAATTCTGACAATCCGAAAAAACTATATAAATATATCCGTAGTAGTCTAAACTCAAAAGTTTGCGTTCCTTTATTACGAAAATCTGATGGTTATCTCAGTTCCAGTAACCTAGAATCCGCAGAAATTTTGGCAGAAACATTTAGCTTAACTTTTACAAACGAAGCAAATAGCAATACGATTCCGGAAATTGTAGCTCCACGTTAAAATAGCAGCTTAAGCGATGTATCTTTTACCCCCGAAATTGTCAAAAAGCACATTATGGAACTGAAAAACCACTCCTCACCCAGACTGGATTGATTGAATTCCTTCTTTTTAAAAAAAGCATGCTTTTCTTAGTACGCCCATCTCAATAATTATGAATTTATCATTTCAAACATCAACCCTACCACGTCAGTGGAAAATAGCATCAGTCACACCCATTTTTAAAAAAGGCGACAAATTGGAACCTTTAAACTATCGCCCCATTAGTTTTTTATCAGTCCCGTCTAAGGTCATGAAAGTTATCATGGTTAATGCAATTTTCGAATTTATAACAGAACATCAAATTATACCCAATGAACAACATGGATTTGTTAAGGACAAATCTACCATAACTAACCTGTTGACGTGTACTAGTGATCAAAAGCCCTTGATTCCAATATTCCTGTGGGCTTTATATATCTGGATTTTGCGAAAGCGTTCGATAGGGTACCTCAAAAAAGACTATTACTTAAACTAGAACACTTTGGTATCCGAGGCAATCTGAACAAGTGGATCGAAAATAATCTTGCCAATAGATATTTTAGTGTCAAATTTGGACAGTCACATTCCTCTGATCGACAGGTCACTAGTGAAATACCCCAGGGATCGGTGCTAGGTCCTCTGTTATTTTTAGTATATGCCAGTGATCTCGCCTTACATATTCACACCTATAAGTATTTTTATGCAGACGACACTAAAATGCCACCCCTAGTCAAATTATAGAACGCTATATTGTCTGGTTTTTGGGTGTCTTGATCAGTGTTGATGGTGTGGTGCACAGACGATATCATGACAGTTCCTTTCCGTTTCTTTTAAACATACGACAATAGGATCATATCAGTATTAAATCCATATGGAGCAGACTTTTCTATTCTGACTGTATTGGGTTGAAACTCTGGGGGTATCATTAGCTTGTTCTTTTTCACTGTCCCAATGTATGTCAAATTGTGTGTTTTTAGATACTGAACCAATTCATAGGATGAAAATCAATTATCGGCAATAACGTTTCTATTAGTTCCGAAATTGGTTTTCATAATTGCAACACTAATTGCGTTGGCACAGCTAATTTTCTCTCAGCATTAGGAAGTCCGCGGCCATCACTGTTTTTTCCAGTATATATGTATGCATTATACAAATATAATGTCATGCGTTAGCTAAGATCATAATTTTCAACGCGTACTTATTCGTTTTAGTGGGCATATACATAAGAAAGTGTCATCTGCCCCTGAAACCCACCATCATCTCATCAATACACACATAATGGCGAACACAGTAACACTGCTGAAAATTACTAATGTCCAAATAATACCTACCCAAGAAGCGAAACTAAATGGGCGATTCGTGAACAAAAAACTACTAAGTTTTCTCAGTGTTTTAAAGGTGGTTTAACTTCAAATATAGCTGTCAATTTATGTAGAGCAACGTTTGGTATATTAGTATTAACCTTTTGTTAAAATTGCAATATAGTTAAGTACTTCGAAATTACATAAAAAAATACATTGTGTATCCTCCTAAGATGATAGTCACCTCCCAGCTCGTGAACCAGCCTACAGATTTAATGCAGTTGACAACGTCGCCAAGAGATGCTTCTCTAATATCGGCCGGTGTTAGCCAATACTCGCCAAAAACATATCTTCTATTAAATGACAACGTCAGGTAATCGTAAAGAATATGCTCAATGGTCTCATCTTCTTCTTTGCACCCCCTGCAGTCTGCGGATTCTGATAGCCCCATGATATGAAGATGCTTCCGTACTTGGTAATGAGCAGTCAGAATACCTGTGATCAGGCGCATACTCTGTCTAGTCATAGTCTAGTATTTGGTTAGCTGTAGTGTTGTCAGCATAACTTTAAAGCTCCCTGGCAACTCTGCAGTTTCTTGTTTCATCCCATCTTTCCTTGAATGTCACAAGGAAATGTTCTTTATTTAGGTCTAACACTACAGATGTTGTCAGTCCAATAGAAGAGCCAAGTCCAAAAAGTATTTGGTTGGCTGTCTTCTTGGCTAGAGAATCAGCAAGAAGGCTACTCTTGCCAAAGCTTCGTGACATTCTAGTACTAACCCTGTATAGATGTGCATATTCCTACCAGTGATAGTGTTTCTAGTGATTTCTTTTGCTGCTATTAGAATCTCCGTGAACTCGGTTTGAACTACATTGACACTAGTACTCACAGCCCATTTTATGTTGAGCCTTGTTTTGTTTTAGAACCGTTGGTGTAGATATGAATCGTACCTGCCACTTCCGGCTCTTCTATTTGTTATGTCATAACTTCATATGAAAGATCTATCTCAGTAAGATGAAGCAGTGAGAGCGTATCGAGCGTCTTTTGTCAAAAGCAACGTCTCGCCTCGCCACATGGTATATCAGAATCGATTCCATCCGTGCAGAAGCGTATTCATTATTATCAGAGCAACCTCCTTGATGTATATATCAAAAGGAGTGAGACTAAGAATGACTTTCATGCCTCTAGTTGGTGTGGTTTCTTTGGCTTCTGTTATGTTGAGACATGCTGTTATTTAAATTTGCTCTAGTTTGCAGATAGCTCTTAATTTTTGGATTTTAGGTACCCACACAATTACACCGTATGTTAACAAAAGTTTGGCATTTTCGGTATTGTTCATGAACAATGTATGCTCATTTGACTCCGTTTTCTAAGTGTGAGTTCTATGTTAACTTGTTTACCTCTGTTGCAAAGTATTGTTTTGTATTTAGGAGCTCTGGAGATTTTATTTCCATTTTCATCCTTTTCCTTGTGCAATGTCCATTTCTGCCTTCTTGGGATTAGTAGTCAGTGAATGGTTCTTGTACCACTGTTTCATAATTTTTCTCAAAATTTCCTATTTGCAGAGTGACCAGGTTATCTGCTTACTCTATTGTGTAGTGACTGTCATTATTGTACCTTCAGTACTTATTTCGTTATTAAAAAATCTATTTTACATAATGAACATAGTAAGAATTTTCATTATTGTTATTTTAGTATCTTTTTAATTTTTATGAAACAAACGGTAAAAATTTATTAATTTTCATACGTTTCCCAGTATATTAAGTTCCCATGCTTTGGTACATACAAAAACTCATTTAGTTTCGCTACAGTTTATTGCTAAAGAATCAGTTAGCTCACTTGGACAAGTTGAATGTTCCAAAATAACATCCACTCCAGGGATACAAATTTAGGATGCGCAGAAGACTGCTCTTTGAATATAGTAGGCGGTTGTCATATATTTGATTCTGTATGCGCCAGGGATACAAATCCGAGTTACGCAGTGTATAAACTGGGACATTGAGATCAAAAGTGCCGACGCAGAGTGAGCGAATTGATTCTTTAGCTATAAACTGTGGTTTCGCTTCTTGGGTAGGTATTCTATGCTAATGACGAATAGGCCGGATATCACTGCAGCTTTGTCTCCAAGTACTCTCATGATTTTGTCATCCGCATTGTCAAATCTCAAATGAGTTAAAATGGTCAAAATTCTTTCGAGCGACATTGCGTTTTTAAATATGTCGCGACTAGTACCATCCGTTGTAAATATAGCTTCTATGTGCTTGTAGTTTAATTTAAAGGTCCTGGAGTAATAAAGTAGGCCCTGGAGTAATAAAGTAGGCCCATGAAAGCTTTCAGTTGAACTATATCTATGTCGTTCATTTCAGGTTTATCTTCTCTCTTGTATTTTGTCCGTTCCCTGTTCAATTTTTTATTTATCCTATTCACAATCTTTTCATCATTAAACAAATGCTTCCAAATACTATATGAAACTGCATTATTAAAATTTCTCATGGGTTCCCTCAGTCCTGGGAGAAATCTAACAATATTATGGGCTTCTGCTCTTTTGTTTCGCGTAGGCTCAAATTGAGACCACTTGAACCTATTTTTCTTATAAGCTCGGTTATTTTCTGAATCTGTAGTTCCTT